TAGTAGAGACAGGGTTTCACCGTGTTAGCCAGGATGGTCTCAATCTCCTGACCTCGTGATCCGCCCGTCTCGGCCTCTCAAAGTGCTGGAATTACAGGCTTGAGCCACCGCGCCCAGCCGAAAGGAGAAACCTTTCTAAGAGGCAAGATATACTTCACACAGGTACATAATTTGTCATTTTCACATAAAATCAGTGACCTTCATAATTCTGAAACATATTCAATAAAATCATACGGCAAACACTAAACATACACACTTACAAGCCAATAAAATCATAATAAATATATGTGTATGGAGCCTATTGTGTTAAATAAGAATTACTATCCAAAAAATTAAAGATCACATAATCTTTACTACTACTACTACTAATACTACTGGGCCTAATTCTGGATATAATCAAGTTAACTGCAGCTCTGAGCAAATAAGCAATATCCAAAGTATTAAAAATTGAGAAAATAAGAAATACAGCATGTCCTCAAATACTACTGTTTTGTTCGTTTTTTATAACACAATGGGGGCCAGTGGTGGGGAGAGCTGAGGCCCAGCCGCGACCACTATCTACATGGAGTTTGCACGTTCTCTCCCTGTTTACATGGGTTTCACTCCAGGTACTTCGGTTTCCTCTCACATTCAAAGCCATGCAAGTTAAGTGAACCAGCATATTTGAATGGTCCCCGTCTGAGCGAGTGGGAGTACACTCTGCGATACGATGGCATCCTGTCTAGGGCTGATTCCTGCCTTGTTCCACCAGTTGCTGAGATAGGCTCCCACTACCCATGAGCCTAAAATAAAACAACTGGGTAAATAATTACCTTATTTTTATTTCTTTCTTAAATAAATGTATAGCTCATATTTATTTCAATGATTAGTATCACAAGTGTTTTAGATCCTTATTTAGAAGTTTGGTGATTTTCTGTTACCAAAATATGGCATAGGAACTGAATCTCATTTGTATCAAGTAGCCTATGGTAAAACTGGTTTCATTTCATTGAAAGTTGCAATTTCCAAGAACCTATCAGTAATGTTAAGTGACAACTTATGGTATAGAAATATGATGCATATACCAAGTAAGTTGAGGAAAAGGAAAATTAGAGGAACATGACAGAATGTGTGCAAATTTGTTGACAAAGAAAATAAAAAACATTGATCTAAATATTTAAATGCTATAAAGTAACCTTTGAAAGTAACTATTAAACTGAACCAACCTTGTCAAAGCAAACAAGATTCAGCTGTCCACAAATATTTATTCTTTGGGGACTGATACAGAAAATACCGATTTTTTTCAGTCTTCTCTGAGCATACACAATACCAGCAGTCATTGCAGCAGGAAGTGCGGGGGGCACAGTGATTGTGATAATATCAAGAGACTCGATAATTATGACCCCAACTTCTACCTACAATTAACACAAAAATAAATGTCAAACCCCCAATATTATTTGCTGATTTAATATGGGTATTTCTTTAGTGAAAATCTGTAAGTCATTTTCAATTGTGAATTTCAATGTTGTGTGTGTGTGTGTATATATACATATCTATTAACCATTTATAATTTTTTCTTCAGATATTTCTGCAAAATAAAAAAGCTCAATGAATTATAGAATGACAACTACTTTCAAAAGAAACTTATCTCATTTTCATAGCGCTACATACTTCACACATGACATACTTCAAAGCCGGTCAACAAGCTTTATCAGATATTGACTCAGCATGCACACACGTTACTGTGCCAGTCTCCACATCTGACAAGCGGCGCCTTCAATTAAATAATCAAAAATCATTTTAACACTGTATATTACATCTCAGAGGTAAAAAAAGAGAAAATAAACCTTTTGGTGAGTACGTGGGTTTTTTTTTTTAAAAGTCACAAGACCAAGTAAAAGATCATCTAAACCAGAGCCATCCAAAAGAAGTGTCCTTTATAATGGAAATGTTCTATAGCTGGACTTTCTAATATCATAGCTACTAGTCTCACGACTGTGTTAGCATTAAATTAATTAAAATTAAATTAGTTTAAAATTTCAGTTCCTCATTCTCACTAGCCACATTTCAAATCCTCAATAGCCACATGTGATAAATAATTGAGGTTCAAACCATATTAAGAGTCCCACATACATACCTCATTTAAAATGCTATTAATAATAGTATAGATAAATCCAACGCCAGCAACTGCCACAAGACATAGTAGAAACAAGTAGGCATCTCTGTAGAGTTTAAAATCAGTTGGTTTGGGATACAATATGGAACGAACAAGCTGTCCTTTGGAAGTACTAAATCCTATCAAGAAGAGAAGAGAATTATTTATATTTTTATAAGAAAATGAGAATTATCTCCCATAACAGAATCTCTTTTATTTATTTATTTATTTTTTTGAGACGGAGTCTCGCTCTGTCGCCCAGGCAGTGGTGCAATCTCGGCAATCTCGACTCACTGCAAGCTCCGCCTCCCGGGTTCACGCCATTCTCCTGCCTCAGCCTCCCCAGTAGCTGGGACTACAGGCGCCCGCCACCTTGCCCAGCTAGTTTTTTGTATTTTTTAGTAGAGACGGGGTTTCACCAGGTTAGCCAGGATGGTCTCGATCTCCTGACCTCATGATCCGCCCATCTCGGCCTTCCAAAGTGCTGGGATTACAGGTGTGAGCCACCGCGCCCAGCCCAGAATCTCTTTTTAAACATTCAGTAGGTATCAAATATGCTGAAACAGGCAAAAAGAGATTAATTAAGAGGTTTCCTACCTGTTCTAACAACTATGGCTTTGACGAGTTCTCCGGTGTAGA